GTACCTAAGTATTTTCCTGAGAAGATTTGTCGGCAATTCTTTCTGAAACCGTATTGTGTAAATTAGTTCCAAGTTTATTATCAATTACATTGACGTTTGGTAACTTCAACATCAATCTATTGTTCTTCTAGTATAAAAACAGTCACGTCACTCATCGCATGTAGCCACCCATGACCCACTGCAAAACTGGTCGCCTGTGAGAAGTACTATGCTAGTATATTTTCATCTCTATCTAGCCTTCTATCTAGCCCATGCGAACAAAACATACAACTTTTGCAGTAGGCGACTACTTGTCACTGTTTTTATACTAGACGACGTATAGGTTCGTAAAGAAAAAAATAATTTACTGGCCATAGCTCTTAATTTCGTGAAGTACACAGTTCTCTGCTAGTCAGAGGAAATGCAGTTTTGAGGCTGCGTTTTAGGAGAGGAAATAGTTCGTTATCGCCCGTTTGTAGGAGCAAAACGACCGGGACCGAAATGACTAGATCCGGAACCGCCACGACCGTAACAGGGAGACAATAATGGTGGAGGCGTGAACATCCTTTACGAGAACACGGTTTATTTTGTCTACAACGACAAAGTGCCGTAAGCCGGTAATGAATGGCGCGAGAAACTAAGAACATGTTTGTCAAAAGCTGAAAACGAATTTTAATTCAAGATTACTACCTATAAAAAAATTTAGTAACTTGTATTGTAAGTACTAAACCGAGTATTAAATCAATTGTGGATATTGTAAAGTACATTAGATGTACGAGTATTTAAATATCGATGGGGGGTCCAGTAATACACGACCTCGAAATTTCTTTCCCAGAACTTCGCACAAAATTCAATTCAAGGTTAAGTTTACAATAATTTTGCAAACAACGTTGACCCTTCGCATTGACCTCATATAAAAAATATAATGATAAAACAGAAAACAACAAGTAATGTATTGACGAACCGTAATAAAACTCTGATCTTATCATGTGATATGCAATCCAGACAATACGTATAAGTAGGTAGATTAAGTATTAAACCAATTAAAATGTTTTATCCAAACTAGGCTCAGATCCACCTAATAAAAAATGTGCTAGATCTTCGGTACTTTGATACAATTATAACATCCAAGATAAGACTAAAGGAAGTTACATTACGTTACAACACCGTATTGGAAAAATTTTAACAAAATGAAATACAAAATGTAATGAACTAAGTATGTAAAACCGAATAAAACTTGCGAACAAAACGAAAACTTCAAGAAAGTACTCCTCAAAACAAATTTGTACCGTCAGTGATACACTCTATTTCTCGCTCTATTTATTAAAAAAAATGTATGCTGGTACCTTTTACTGCTCATCTTTGACGTACTTATATAGAGTCTTCGTTTAGTTAAAAATGATTGCGAAACTTTCACAGATCCATCAGTATAGACTTCCCATCTGTCGCGGACATTTTCATAAAAAGTCGTCTGCAATTTCTTTACTTATGAATTTATTTATTATCTTTCCATTTTCCCTTCATTTCCAAATACATTCGAAGCGGAAAGAGACCTTCCCACGCAATTTTTTTTGCCTTTATTCATTTACCACTAAATATTGAAACAAGACTACTTACAATTAAATAGAAAACACTCTCCATCAAGTAGAAATACGAGGCAATGAAGGGGTTGAAGGAGCCACTCTCTCATCATATCTCGAAAACGGCACATACTACCACGAGGAAAAATGTCGTCTTTTGAAAGTAGACATAGGGAAATAGTATTTGTACAACTAGAGAAGAAAGTGGAGTTTTTCAACTCGAGTTCAAAGTTGCACTCGGTAGATGACAAATTTTTTAGAACCAGTTATAACTGCTCGTATACCTCTACTATAACTTTAAAATACGATATTTCAGCAAAATAAAACAGCTGCTAGTAACATTTTTGTGAGAAATTGCGACAGCAATGGCTCACCCAACTTGCCCGACAGTTTATCGCGACACTTATTGCCGAGCTTATTGCTCACAGTTGTGAATACATGTGGAAGTCTGATTTAAGTCCTTTAGATTACTTCTTGTGGGGATATTTAAAGAATAAAGTTTATGCTACACCGCCCGGAACATTACAAGGGTTGCGAGCACGTATAACCATAGTGTAAAAATAGAATACACTATGGTAACTCAACAACAATTTCGAGCGATTACCCCTGAAATCTTGCAACATGTACGGCAGCGTTTTGAAGAAAATCTTTATTATTGCATGGAAGCAGGCGGGAGGCAATTCGAGCATTTATTGAAATAAATGTTGTGTGTTTAAAGTTATTTGTTATTTTTTGCACAATTTAAACCTTGTATTAAAAATGTTAATACAAGGTGACTTAGGTCGCATTTGTTTTGGTTTTTTTTAGAAAAAACCGAGGAAAAAACCATTTCAAATGCGAATATCTCCGAAACGAATCAATAGAATTTAAAAAGCAAAGCAGATTAGTAATCACGATTAAATTGGCTTTCAAATAATGTGCCATTTGCCATAGGATTCCAGTTAAAATTTTAGGGGTTAAGCTCCCTACGTAGAGGGGTGAAGACTTGGGTTCGTGATTTGTATTCCAAAAGTTGTCCCCCTCGAATACAAAATTGACGTGTTCGAGGATTTTTCGAAATTTCTAAATTTGATACCCTAAAAGCCCTCTGTATACTTCTCGTTGGGCCACTCTGTATGGATAATATCGGAGAAACTAGTAGATAATTCGATTTGTAAGAAAAATTTGCAAAATCAGTTTATTGTCAAAATTGTTACTTAAATTTGAATTCCAGGGTCTATATTTTTTATCCTGGGTTAAGTATAAGTCAAATAAATACATCTACTATGAAACAATAAAAAATAGCTTACAGGGTTTTTGTAGGTACAAAACTTCATATTAACAATCTCATTTTTTTTTAAATGGAACACCCTGTATATGCGTTTGAGATAACGTGACAAATGCCGTTTACTTGTAATTCTATTTTTATTAAAATACTTATAATAGTTTCTCGTGTAAACAAATAGATATTTTGCGATACCCTGGCACCTTACTCTATCTTATGAAACAGAAATTTATTCATTCTTTTTCCACTGTCATGTACCCTATTGAACGAGAGTTGAAAAACACTTTCTTCTCACTCAAGTTCAAAAATGTAAACATCACTATTTTTTTAAATATTGTTAAAATATTTTCTTTTTTGCCTGGCAAATTTTGTCTTGGCTATTGTATGTTCGTAGTTTCTTGCGTTTTTACATATTAATAGCGCCATTTCTTAAAAAATAGTGATATTTACATTTTTCAAATCAGAAAAAAGTCTTCTATCAAATGACACAGTTAAAATGACTCCCATAAGAAAAAAACAAAGTTGATGATGGTTAACCGGAGAAGAAACGTCAACATTAAAATTTAAAACTAGCATCTTATAGAGGGAAAAAAGTGGCCATAATAATGTGTCATTTATTTTGAAGTAGGTATCGTTTTAAATATCTTCAGTAAAAAATAAAAACGATTTTGCAAAATGTCGTTTTTTTCAGGATATCTCTGAAAATAGTCGGATTTTTTTCAGTTTTAAAATTGCATTTTGTTATGCATCAAAATAAGCAACTTGGCAAAAACTACCTACCTACTTATCTCTTACAGTTTCCGAGATCCCCATGGGCCATGGTGGCCCTAGAATTTGAATCAGCCTGTATAGGTATAGTTAAAAAGCTCATGAGATATCGCATTTAACAAAAGTGCGAAATTGCATTTGAAAAAAGTTATCTATGAATGAAATTTTCTAAATTGGCAAACCGTAAAAATTAAAAAGAATTCGACACTGTCCGCCCCTCAGACCTTTACATTGGTGCATTTCATAATATGGTTTCGAGCATTTTACCGGTTACTTTGTATTAGGTTTTACTGCAGTTTTGTAATTCGTAAGGTAAATACCTATAGAACAACTTAAGACCTTCTGCAGAGGCACCCTCGGAAGCACCTCTAAAAAGCATTCTACGGGTCACTCTGTAATTGGGCGCAAGCCTGTTGATGGCCCCGAACAAGAGAGGAATAATAAATAAAAAATAAAAATAAATAAATAAATATCTAAAATTTGAACGAAATCCCTTGAGCCGTTATCTAAAAAAAATTGTATATCTTTAAAACTTGCTTAAAATGATCTAAACGTCAACGTTTGAAATTTTGACATGTTCATAAAACAGTGATCGCAATTCTCAATACCGACCTAGCTAAAGGTTAAGGCCGAGGCTAAGGCTAAAAATGAGTATTATGTCCTGTGTCCCTTCTTGCCAAAAATATAATTTCTTGTGCCTACAATAGAATTACGTACGATTCTAAAATGAACGGATAAATAGCACAGACAAAAAGCACGGGTCCTACGAATCCCATGTAAACAAAAACTCATTAGTTTGTTGTGGGTGACCTCATTTAACGAAAATCGTTAATACCCCACTAGCACTTAAAACAATGAGGTGCTAATAGAACCTTGATCTTTTTTGTCTCGCATCGTGCAGTGCAATGACGTTGCTCCACTTTTTAAATGCCACCTCCCAAAGTGACATTACGGATGATTTGTACTTAATTATTAACGATCTAACTACTTAAATGATGAAAATCCTTTGCAATCAAATCACAGTTCATGCAATTCAATCACCGGCCTTGACTGATCTTCAATGCTCTTCGATTTAATGAGATTGTCCTTTCGCCTATCATACTATAAAAGTATAAGCTATTATTGCAAAATCTGGAAGTTATCTTTGCACACCAAGGATCAAGGAAGTGAACATTTTTGAGCCAAAATTTGCATAACGCCGTATCACAACAATCAATTATCACTATCGAGTTGCACCTCACAATAAAAGATAAGGTGATTTAAATTTAGTTCGTTAGCTCGTGTCGATACCGATAGAGAAACGTTAATCGCTGAGGGCGGTTCAAGTTTAGAACAATTTGGTTCATTGTTACGATTGTTCTAACAAGATGTAGGTAATGTCGTCGTAGTGGATCTTAAAATAGTCTTACCTTTAACCGATTTAGATTACCGTCTCGTGCAGCGTTATAAACGACGCTCTTGTAATCCATTATTGGTAACACCTCTCACAGAACAAAATTCAAGTCGAGTTTTTAGAGTAAATTCAAACTACATCACTCACTTTTCACCTCCACAGCTGACTAGCAACTATTAAAATCGAATGATAACCAAAACAGAAGAGAGTGGGTAACTACGGACGCGGAGCACCGCGAACCGGTCGCACTCGCTTTACGAAGAATTCTGTGCCGAGCCATTCATAAACGCCACGATTTCGTTACCTTAATCAACCAGTAGATGTCCGCATCTACAATAAAGTATAGAGTTTCCGTATAAACTTTGAAGGTGGACCCCTAAAATTCACCGTAAACAATTGCCGCTTGAAAATGAACCAATGTACCTGGTTCTAAATTCAATGTACGGTGTGCCTCAACAGTTTTCGAAAAATGTGGTTCCGAAAAGTCACAGGCAACTTCACGTGAGTACCGGAGATTTTGAATGAATTTCAAAATTATGAATGTACCTTCGTTTCGTTTTCGTTGTACGTCTGCCGATATCGAAAATCCGCTTCCGAAAAAGCACGACCAACTGCAAACAGGTAAGTACCGGAAAGAAGTCCTAGAAATATAAATGTACCTTATTCAAAATTCAATGTACCAAAACTCGACTTGACTGTATCTCTGCCGTTTTTGGAAAATCCGGTTTGCAAAGATCAAGCATTCAAGCTCAAGAAAGAACTAAAAATATTTCTAATAAACCCCTAGCTAAAGCTAAACGATAGGTGTATCTTCTTCATAATTGACTGCCTACATTTTATTTGTCTGTTTATGTGGGATATTAAATTGATATTAATTACTCCATGATAACACAATAAAATGGTGCAAACCAACTTAGACTCGGCCCTGTAAGTTTCGCAAAATTGTAAGCAAAAACGAATAAATGCTGAAAATAGTATTTTTATCTCATTGTAAATTTCAAAAGTTAAATAGTACCATAGACTAAGTGTAATTAGTCCATGATAGTAACTACACCGTGTATATGTTTTTACATTTTTCTAGATTTATACGAGGTGGGTCGAAAAAATGGTCTAACCACAATTGTTTAAAGCGCATTTGTTTATTTGAAAAGCAATATGGCATTAAAATCGTCGATGTGTCTTTGACATTAACTAATATACACATTTAAAGCGTATTTAATATAGCTTCGGAGTAAATAAAATTAAGATTATTTGAACTGACCACTTCTTATATTATTGTATTTATATCAGTATAAGCGAATATTATCAAAGTGATTGTAGCTCAGTTGCAACCTCTCCGTTCTTCGATTTACCGCGGTCGATGACGCGGGTTCTTCGTTGCTTGAATAAATTACTACAAAAATCGATTTTGCCAAATTTTTCCAAGAACAGGGATTTTACATAATTTTTAAATTATGAGAATTTTGTTTATTTTATACCGTAGTCATTTTTTTCAAATCGTGGCTCATCCTAGAATTTTGAAACGCCCTCTATATATTTTCAAATGAGTATAATCATTCACTAATCCACGGTTTAACAAAAAATTTTAAATTTCTTTGTTATCGGTAAATTAATAAATTATTTGTTAGACCAACCTTACATAAAAGATGGAAGCAACGTATCAGGTGTAAAACTGTCTGTGAAATACAAAAACGTAAATACATTTATTATTATTTATTTATTTTATTTATTTATTATCCTACTCTTGTTCTGGGCACTCAACAGGCTTGCGCTCAATTACAGAGTAACCCGCATAGTGCCCCTGAAGGAGGTGTTAAGTTCGAACATCCGACCTCCGGCTATGTATCCCAACATTTAACATTTAAAATTTGAAATTGATGGTAACTTCCAGAGACACCATAAGTGATAGGAAAATACTATTGAGACCTTCAAACTTTTAAACCATTCAATTGGTTTTTATTCATAACATAATATCCATAAAAAAAGAAAGTACATTAATTGTATGAAAACTTGTTCAGTATTGTTCGAATGTTTTTATTATACTATGTATTTGAAAATTTGAGAATATTAAGCAAAACAACAATTAATTTTTTTGACACTATCTTGCATATTAGCATTATATATGGTACAATAGGTATCTCATTAAGTCATTATAGGTGAGTGAGTGAATATGTTCAATGCAATTATCGCTATCTACTTTTAAGAAATCAGATCAACCAATTCAGCAGAAACAAATAAGGCGTTTTTAAATAAGAAATGAATAAATCTGCACCTAATAATAATTAAATATTTGCACTTCATCCTCATTTGATCGATTCGATGTGAAGAAAAATACGTTTTATAAATTGATATCATAGCAATAGACACGTTACTTAGAAAAGTTTATATCTGCTGGAAATCCGTCCGTCCGTCCATTCATCCGTCTGAGGGTGTGAGATTTCAGTACTCGGACCTCGTAGAAGGCTGCGATGTTTTGTTTTGTTTAATAGGCTTGAACACATACCGAGAGCGAAAATAAACAAAACAATATCGAACATGTTTCCATTTCTGAGCATCGCGGATTTATCATTTACTAAGATATAAGACGGAACTACAATCTACAAGTACCTACTTCTCATAAAAGTGACACTCTAGCCTAGCGGACATGTTATGAAATAAATTTGCTGCACGCGTAGAACTAAATTGCTTATTTAGGTAGGGTCAGAAAAAATAAGGTTTTGAAAAATGCACTATTGATAGATGCAATACTTCAAATGCAAATATCTCGAAAAGTGAGTATACACAAGAGAAAGTGGTAGGTACATCTTTTTCACATCCATGCAATGATATCTAGCAAAATCGACGGGTCCCCCGTCCCAGCATATTTACAACCACGCCTCTATTTCATTTTTATTGAACTTATCTGTTATTAAATCACCTCCCATATATACTTTTACCAATCTTCTGACTATGTATTTTATTAATTATAATTAGTCGATGCAACATAAAGAAAATAAAAGGGCCCCAAAAATTCTCATTGCTTAGGGCCTCTTAGGCCATTAATCCGCCTGAATCAACTACATCTCTGGAACTGTTGGTCCGATTCTTTTTCTTAAATGAAAGCTCTTTATATGTGTTGGGTTCACTGTATGTTAAATTTCAATTATTGTTAACGTTAAATGTGGTCGCCAATTAGAGAATAAACACAAGATCGAATTAGAGGTCAATGTTTTGTACCGGAGATGTTACATGTTTAATTTTGTTAAAATAATCGCCTTCTCATTTTGTTTATTGGTTGAAAAGTTGAGTTACGCGTGAAAAGATAAGGGACACTGGAAACATATCTATCTTATCTCCGGTCATTGCAATAAGAAGTTTATCGTGGCGTAAAGTCAATTATGTTTGTAGATAAGGAGATGTTCTTCGCCGTGAAACCACAGTTGTGTATCAAAGACGCAATTGGAAAGGAAAGTGAGTTTTAAATAGAAGAGGCAAATCTTAAACAAAGCCTTTTGGTTTTTGATCGGTGATTATTGGACATGTTTTTTAATCAGCTCGGTGTTCGTGTTCTCTGTGCGTAATTAGAGGTGAATCGCAGATGACCGGATGTAAAGGATTATTTAACTTATTTTCTTTAGAATTGTGAGAGTGATCAAGGCCTCTGAGTTTCTTAATAAAATTAAAGTTTTATCGAGATTTAAGTTGTGGCGGATGCTGGACGTGTCCTGGAAAAATTATAATTATTTCGTATAAGATTTATTTGTTAGTACCTGAATTTAAGCTGGACCGTTGTGTATGTGTGTGACCGTTTGCCATTGCACATACCAATCTTTTTCATTATTTAGTGCTTTATTTCGTCTTATTCTGTACTCTGGAGGATGCGAGGTAATAAGATTTGTTATGACATGCCTCTGCAGATACAATATCTCTAGACGTTACTGCAATGATTTTTGCAATTCGTTTTTCTATAAAATTTTCACGATGTTTCTTATCGATGTTTTATTTATTTAGCAGACAATTACTTTTTAACAGTTTATTTCATCGAAAAAGTACTTATGACAAAATTTGTAGAACGTATAAAGAGCTGTCATTAACAAAAAATGAAATCGGATGAATAGTTCAAAAGATATAGTTGATTAATAATTATAAAACTCAACATCCGCCATCTTTGATTGACCGCCATTTCTATTAGCTACCGCTTTGATACAGAAATGTGTTTTTTTGGCATCCTACCAACACCACTGTAAAAAGGAAAATTGGTACCCCCAAATCATACCGACATCGAATATGTTGACTGGTCTATGTCTATGGACTAAAGCATTGCATTGGCAATCATGGAGTGGCCGTGTAGTGTGTAGGCCATACTTGAGCTTGTACTTGTACTTGGACAAATACAAGTACTTGTCAATAGTGTTGTGTAGTGAGTAGCCGCATTTACGTTTGCCTGTTGAGGCAACGCGACAGTATGTAGGAAATCGCATAGTGTGTGTCCTCTTTAAAACAATTTTCGTAAAGGTAGTTCCAAACTGAAGAAATTCTTATTGGCGGACGGACGGACAATTGCACCGTGGTCCTAATGTGAATAATACCCTAGAGTAAACAATGTTACTCTATGATAATACACAAGTGTAAGTGAAGTGTAAGTTTACCGGCGGGGATTCGTGTGGGATGGGCCGCCCAGCGTTGCGCATTGTCATGTTTGCCTCTGAGTTTCTCGTCGCTGTCTGGAGATAAACGATACAGTAGGTATATATAACCTGTTTATTATGTATAAATACACAATAAAAAATGAACGTTCAAAAATACTATATCGGGAGAAAACTAAATTGAAGTTACCTATGTCACAGATTAACTACCTGTGCCTATGCCCTATGTGTATTAATATGTCTCTTAAATTTGTCCAGAATATAATGCACATAATCCGGTTTTCGCCAATTCTTGTAATTATACCTGCAGTAGCGTTTATCTTTATATCAAGGTAGAGACGAAGAAACGTCGAAGCAAAGACGACAATGCTCGACGCCGTGCGGCCCCTCCCGTACGAATCCCCGTCCGAAAACATCATACATATAAGGTGTATTCTTTTTACATTATAAGTGAGGAAATCGACTAACTTAACTAAGACAAACTGAGCTGAATTTATCTGAGTCAATCGCTCGCTAAAAAGAATATCTTTTTGGTACAAGCAAGAAAACATATCCTTAAAATGTTTGTTGATGAGTGATAATTAATTCTGTCTTTTTTAAATGTTAATAGTCACATCACAACTAACTGAAAATAA